TGGCCAAAAGTGGAACAGCTGAACGTTGGCCAAAAGTGGAGATGATAAGGTTTGGGATTTATCTACAACGTGTCCATTTATGCATATTAATTAGGTTGATGCCCATTGAGGAGAGACCGTTGTCATGCCATAACTTTTGCAATTATGTTTGTAAACACTTCAATCAATTAGTTTTAGGGCCAAACACACGCACAATTATATATATTTTTTTGGCATGCACACAAACCGACCACAAAATAACCAAACCGTTTTCATATAACTTGCACAAATTGTTCGCATTAGATTTGAAAATGCAATGCATTATTTAGGCAATAAAAAATGCAATCTAAATTAAATATAAAATGCGCGAGTGGGAAAAACAGGGGATAAAATGGCTGCAACTGTTTATGAGCGGCTGTCTGTGTGTGCGTACGTTTGTGTGTGTAAGTGTGTGTGTGTCTAATGAAGCAGGCAATGCACATAGCGCGACACATTCACACCTGCAATTAGCCACCCAATTTTCATGGGTGGGGTTGACTATGAAACGGGCGTGGTTACTGTCAGTCAAACAGTTGCATTTGCAGTTGCAGTTGCAGCTGTCCAAAACGTAATATTTAACGTCATTTTATGCAAATTGAAATTATGTTAATGGTCAACCAAATAGCAAGAACAACAGCCAGAAGCCAGAACGTGGACAAACAAATGCCTTGTCGATTGTTGGCTCTATTTGCATTGCGGCGAGCAAAAAGAGAGTGACAGACAGAGCTTGTCGAAAGAAGAGAAAGTAGAAATGCCAACCAGAGAAACTGTACAACTTCACATCTTCAGTTGGTTCAATTGAATTCAGTCATACATTCATCGAGGCAGACTCTTATCAATTCATTCATACATTCATTCATTTCGAATTCTGTTCGCAATTCGCTTAAAGCATTTTGCATGTTTAACTGCCGCTCAGCCTCTGTGCTCTGTCATATTAATAATAATGAATGCCTGCAACGGCAACGGCAACAGCAACATCAACTGCATCTGCAACGGAATCTGTAACTGGCAAATGGCAACTGGCAACTGGCAACTTTGCTTCATTTGCATTTTCATAATAATCATAATAATGTACAACACCACAGCAGAGCACATCAGCAGCAGCAACAACAGCAGCAGCAGCAGGAACAACCGACAACTGTCAGTAATCATAATAAGCATATAAAATCGTTTTGTTGCATGCCACATGCGTGTGGCATTTATCGTGACGATTGTCAGAGGATCGAGCTGATGAACTGACAGCGTGCCTGTTGCCATGCAGGCCTTGTTGCCAGATAAACTAAACTTATAGGTACGTCGTCTGACATTCTACATATCCCCACACATTTTTCCTGCACCCTGTCCTTTGTCCTTGTCATTAACATTTTGTTTATATTTGCTCAAATATGCGTTGGATTGTCATAATTATTATGCATGCCTAGGCATTCTGTCCGTGTCCGTGTCCATGTGTGTGTGAGTGTGTTTGTGTTAACTCATGTGGGTGCATCGCATTTTCAATTTGCCATTGTTTGGTTTTATAGCGCGTTAAATTTCATCATCATTGCAGGTTTTGTTGCTTGAATCTGCTTTATCATTATTTATATATCTTGTTGTCCAAATAAGTTAATCCTTCTGCTAACTTTTACTGACTTTCCCAGTTGCAATTCTCGTTGTCATGTCAAGTAAATGTTGACATTCTGTATTTGTTGCAACGAAACGTTGGTAAGTTAATAATCAACAATTAAACAGAAATTTAACTGCCAATCGTTAGTTTTTCCTTCTTTTTATATCCTGAAAATATGTTTCAGTCGATTGAATCACAATTCAACTATGTTTTTTAACAGACAGGGGGTGCATATTGGAACATAGATAAAAATAAATAAATATACAACTTTTTGTTCAACAGAGAGCTTTAGAGCTTTTTACACTCGCCTTGTTCAGAGTTCTGTAAAACGCACTTCTAAATTTTCAATCCTACCTTAATCTTACTCATTCGTACAAACTTTATGTGAATTATGCATACGTACCTAAAACGAAAAGAAAAATATTTAAAAATTAGTACAAAGCAATTAAGTTGGAAAATGCGATCTTAAATAGGGCAATAAACAAGTGAGCTGGGATAGGAGACACCCAGGATATCCATAATTTGGTGTCTTAAGGTCTAAAAATAAGAAATAGAAATAATTGTGATGTAGTGAATATTAGAATGTGCTTTCATAACTTCATTATGCCCAATTTAAGCATTAAAATACCATAAAAAGTCAGCGAAGGTTTAGCTAGCAGCTCTCAGCTTCTGACAAAGTCACACAATTACTCAGAACCTGTGGCAAGTTTTGGCCAGAGGTTCAGATGCGAGTTTAAAGTGCTGTCAACACACATACACACATAAATGCACACACAGGCACACACACATAACACATAAACACATATTCGCAGAGGATTTGAGAAAAAAAATGAAACTAAAGCAATTTCAAATTGAAAACTGCTGCGAATTAATCAAATGCTTTTGCCAACAAGTCTGGCCAGAGCAGGAAGAAGACGAAAACTACGGCCAAAGAGAATTCCCGTAAACAACACGAAAATGTCAGTCAGTCAGAAAGACAGAAGCCAGCGATAAAGCCAATGCCAGAGCTAAAGGCAAAGGCAAACGCAAAGGAAAATGGAAAAAGGAAAATGGAAGCAGGGCCAACCCTTTCGGCAATGTGCGCGTTTGCCCTTGATACTCTGGGCACAGTGGATACCCCTATTCGCCTGTACATATTTATCTATGTACACATATATCTATCTATATATATATACATATATGTACTTGTATAGTGCAACGCATTAAATCGATAACACGATTTTTCAGCACGAACACACACAGTGCGAGTTAAATTGTCAGTTTCATTACGTGGCAGGGTTTTTTTTTTTTAAGCCAAATCACTTCGTCTGCGGCTGAGCTGGATGGACGCCCTTCCCCGGGAGCTGTTCCTCTGGTTTTCGGTTTGCCAGTGGCTCTTGCGCTTCCATTTCTCAGATTGCGACAAACGATTTTTCAACTTGGCGCTTCATCGAGCGTCGCTCCCTGTTTGGCCGCAGAATTTCCGTTTGATTTTGTTGCTCTTTAGTTTTTCTGTGGTTTTCGCGCGAACAAACTCAATTGTGGGAAAGGCGTGTCAGAGAGGCATCCAAAAGCGAAACAAAGGAGAAACGCATTGAGAGCTTAGCTTTTTGCTCCTCAGAGACTCGACTCGACTCGAGTCGACTGCTCGACGAAGGCGAGTTCCACAAACATTTAACTGATTGCTTGGGCGTGCGTGTGCCGTGCCTTGCCCCACCCTGCCCTGCCCTGTAGTGCCCTGTCCCTGCCCTGCCTGGCCTCGAGCTGCCTGATTTTTTGATTTGCAATACACCTGGGAGACAGCAGCCCCCGTCTCTCGTCTAGTGACTCGCGTTACTGCAGGCCACTACAAAAATGCGAAGCTTATTTGTTAGAACTCGAAAATAAATTGTCTGTGCGTGCAGTAATTGTAAATTACGTTTTTGGGACTGGGCTGGGATTGCCATCCCGGTTGCTGGCCAGGAAATCTGTAGTCCGTAATGTAGCCAAGTTATTGACACCTCTCGATGTGCCCTATGAATTTTTGATAGGCACTCTAAAAGCAAAGCGTGAGCTCGTCATATCTAGTGGTGGCGGCTGGGTCGTGTCTTTGGGGGCAATATTGTGGGCCAATTTCTGGCATACATATGAGATAAGCATGGCTGCCCCAGGGATGTGAATTGACTTGTAACTGCAGCACGAGAAAGTATGCAACAATTTCTACAGAACTTGCCGCTGACACAAAACAGCCACCGGCAATAACTCAAACTATTCACCTTGGCCCCAAGCAGCAGCAACTTGAACAGCGTGCAAAATCAATAACCATCAGCCAAAATTCTTATGCCGACAACGGAATCGTATAAAAGTATGCCACATGCTTGGGGAAATCACTAAATTCAGCCCAGCCTGGCTTAGCTAACAGCTAACAGCCAACAGTCGTGGCAGCCAGGAAACCAACAGCCTGGCTCATCTTTTATGGATACGCACACACATACACGTTCTTTTGCTATGCTGCAGCGGCATTTGGCCTAGCACGCTGATAGCTGAGACTGCTTATCACGACAACTGCTCACCCACTAGAGTACCCGACTGCCCGACAGCTTCTGGATGCTGGAGTCGACTGCATGTGACATTTGCATGCTTACTTAAACAGCAAAAAGCAGAAACAGGCTCAACGCTGGCACGTCTGGGCCGTCAGCTATGCCACACATTTTGGTGGCACGGCTGCCAGAGAATTGCTCAATGTCTCGGCAAGAGAGATAGAGAGAGAACGGGCGACAGAGCGAGAGAGGGCGATAGAGAGAGGGAGAGGGGGGGGGGGGTGGGCGACAGAGAGAGGTAGCAGCCGGTTGCTGTCAGGACTTTGGGTTAGTTCCGCAGCTAGTGCTGCCGGCATCCTGTTGACGTCACATCACACACGTGTGTAGTAAAAATCAGACGTGGCAGCCGTGACTAGGAGCGAGATCCAAACGCGGAACGCAGATGCAGACGCAGCGGCAGACACAGACCGGGACACAAACACAGACACAGATACAGAGGCAAGCACAGCCGTAGACGAGGCTCTGCCTTCATATACTTTGATTGCCTGCACGTTACCGTACAATTTTCGGTATGATGGCGGCAACATTTCATGATTTCTTGTACGTGTTTCTGGCTGAGAGCACGCGCACTCGGCCAAGTTAGTTGGCAGCTAGCTGCGCCGCCTAAGCTACAAGTTTCGCCATGGCGCCGTAATGTATGCAAGATTGTTGTATATGACGGCGCGACTCTGTGCAAGCTGTTTTTGTTTGCCTGGTGACTGGTGACTGATGACGGTTTGGTTTTGGTTTTTGGTCTCCGTACTGTAAAGCAGAGGGGAGTCTGATCCAAAAGCAGGCAATGAATTATCGAGCAATTCTATATACACACATATACTATATTCGTTCACTGAGTCTCCATTGGGGTAACATATTTAATACACACGCTCGCATTACATGACAGCAAACAAGCAAACTAACTAAGAAACAACAAATAAACAAATGTCTATACATAATACAAATCTGGCAAATTTAAAGTACTCCGCTCTGACCACGAGATCACAAGGTGAGTATTTCATTTGGCCGCATTCAACTGATTTTAACATGACCGTAATATATAGAATGTCGATCGATTCAGTGCGCTTTGTGGAAATCGCCAAACCGTACCCGAAGACAATAATCGCCAATGTCACATTTAAGATTTTACGCTTCATTTATCCACCTTTCGGTCACGAGGCGCTTGAGGTAACATATGAGGTAACTTTACCAGATCCGGACGAATGGAGCTTGAGGGCGTGCTATATATGCCTCTCACTCTTGTTACTGATCCTTTCGACTTGTTTTGTCTACAAATATTTCTGGAGAACGGTAAGTCAGCTTAGTGCATCCCACCATATGACATATACCAGCATGGACATTTAATATTTCTTATAGAAAAGCATTGAAGAACCGGATGTACAGGAGCGCAAGGAAACGGCAGAACCTCCACCTTTTGAGCAAGCAGATATTGTGAATGAGCATAAAGCCAACTGTACGAATATCGAAGATTGGATGAGCGATTCCTCAATGTCCGATTCCCTAGAGGGTGATTGCCAGCAGGAGGTAAAAATGGAGATGACGGAAATTAGTTGCAAAGAAAATGGTTATACCGGAGAGATCAGGCAACTGCAGCACAATGGAGATGTAGATGATAAAGCCGATCGAATAAAATTTGAGATAGTTGTGGGGAAGCCGCCGAAATATCCTAGGCGCTTATCAACACCGTAAATAAATGTTTTTTTTTTTTTATCTTATATTCCTTTTTATATTTATGCTCGGAATAACACAGCGTAATTCGATTTAAGCTCATCCAATTTTCATTGGGAATTTTCCATTTTAGGCAATTCTTTGTCCTTAATAAGTGTCAGCTTTTGGGCTCGCTGTGATAAAATAAAGTGACTTTCAGTTTTATGTACATGGAAGACACTGCACATGGGATTAGTGTTCCGCCGGCTTGACTTGCCTTGTGGAGCTCTCGCTGACTCCAAGGCTGGTGTGCAAAGCTGGAGCCGGGGTAAGCATCAAGCGGCTAGTGGCAAGGCGGAGAGAGCCAGCGAGAGTAGCGTTAAGGCCATCATTTGGCAGCGCATGTGTCAGATTACTTTGTTGGTTTCGTTTTATTTAAATTTCGTTTCTGCCTTTGCCACACATCGGCTCCATTTTGGTGGTTGTTTGTGTCCCCTAAAGCTGACAGCAGCTGAAACTGTATGCTAAGCTTGGTTTTTTTTGCCAAACAAATTAATGATTGCCTTACAGCAAATAAATCAAAAGCTTCAAGGGCGTTTTGCTCGGATTTCAACTATGGCACAGCTTTAAGCTGGCCGCCCACTGGCAGGCTATATAGTTTTTTTTTTGTTGTATTCGCATCCGACAGCCTTTTTCCACTCAACTAAGCGCGCTTGCATTCATCAATGATATATGTCCTGCTCTGCACAGACCGCATATATGTATATGCGCATATTTATATATATATAAATATATTCAGGCCACATTTATGCCATACATGTTTGCGGAGGGGAGCCACAGCCACGGAATCAGCCACCATTGGCACAACATAACTAACCGTGCGAGCCTGTTATAATTTATAATCCTTGCTTTGGCAGCAGCAACAACTGAACAACAACTGAGAGCGGCATTTCTATTTATACTCTGTTCACAAAAAGAAAACGAGAATATGCACAATGGTTCACCGCAATCCAAGCTATTGACTTGAAACATTTGGTGTACACTCGAGTCAGATAAAGCCATTCCCAAAAAGTAAAGAGGGCCAAATGTATTGCAGCTGCGCCTAGTTCCGCCTCAGGTCGGAGGCTTAAAGTGGCCAAGAAATAATTTCTTGGACTATTTTTGGTTGTTATTCGCTGTGAAGAGAGTATTGCGCAGTCGATTGCGCCCGTCTGACACGTTCTTACTATTTTAGAGCCTGCCTAGTCAAAACTGTCGTATGCAGAACCTGCTGCGAATTGGCCCAGTCATGCAGGTTGACTGTACAAATATTTTGTTGGTTGTTCTCCTGGCCAGCCCCTTTCCCCTCCCTTGATGCTTGACATTATTGACAATATGAGGTCAAAAGTTTATTGGCTATCATTTTGACCGCACAAATATGTGCATAGTGTGTGTTTGTGTGTGGGCGTGGCTTGTTTTTTAAGAATTAATGTGAGTAACAACTGAAGTTGCGTAACTTTGACCATAGAATAACAAACAGAAATATAAACAAATTGGTAATATTAAAATATGAGTTCGATAAAGAAATGGAATTGGGGTAATAATTGAAATTCACTTGATATTTAGTAAAGTGCGTTTAAAGGCAAGCTTCGAGAATAGGCTAATAAATTACAGATAAAATATTAAACAATTTAAATCTATTTCAAAATGCCAATTACAAGAACAACAACAGCACACAATATGGCAATGTTTTGTAATTTAAAATATTTTAAACTAAATTACACACACACAAAAGCCAACTGTCAAATTTACAATATTTTGAGCTCATAAAATTGTGGCAAAAAATAAATGAATAAAAAACAACCAATTAATGTTTGAGAATTTAGCTGAAACTATAAGCACATTGCGCTAGAACAAAAAAAGGGGGTTGAAAACTATTTTAAATATTTATAATAAATCGCTTAACATATTTGGCGGACGCGCACATCTGATTACTACCCATTGCCAGTGAGGCCTTTGTTTCCATGGTTTTGAATGCCCCCTCGAGAGAATGCTAAACAAAAATGCCGGAATAGAACGGGGCAAGGGAAAAGGCGACGTGTTTTGACCAAGGGGATAAAGTTATTAAAAATAGAATTGTTAATACGCATTTTACTGGGAAAGTACATTAAATTAAAAACTAAATGTTTGAAACGAATTTAAAGAACTTAAAATTTATGTTATGTATTAAAAATTGCCCTGCTTTTTTAAGGTCTCAATCGCAGCGTTGCTTTAAAATATTGATCCTACTAATATTTGAGTGACACATTTAGTAAGTGTCGTGAGTGAGGTTTCCTTATTTTTCGCTGCTTTTGCAATTACTTACTGGCTGCTTCCCTCTTCCATGGCTTTAAAATCAAAACATTGATTTCAAGTTTAAAGCGGGTAGTTTTCTGGCAGTTCCTTTCTTATTGCCGAACTTTGTTTCTGACTGTAAATTTGTCAACAACTAGTTCGAGCTGCAAGGATTTAGAAGTTGTAGATTGCAAGTTTTTGTGTGCCTAATCAGCTGGGCACGAGACTTTCGGTTTATGGAATTTGGTGGGATATTTAAACAACGACATTCTAATCTTGACAAGATATAAGCCTAACCAAAGGCTGTCATTTGTTCTCTAAGTCAAAAGCCAGCACACGTTCAGCTTCGCTTTAGTCAGTTGTCAATGGAAGCCGTTTGGGAAACTTTATCCAATTTGGCATACATAATGCAGGCATGTTGGCAGCTGCTGGCCAACTAGAATTACGGCAACTAACTAATTGTATGCTGTTGCTGCTTGACCTTAAGCTAATGCTGGTAATTGCTGTCACGACGACATTTGTGATTATCTGAGCTCGCCGAGAATGCGTAATGCACAATGCTTGGCTGCCTGCCCGGCTGGCTGGCTGTTGGCTGGCTCGTTAGCGTTGCATTCAATTGGGCGTACCAAAAGGTAAATATCATTTATCAATCAGCTTCTGAGATTTGCGGCTGCTTGTGTGAGCCTCTGCAGTTGACAGCTGGCGCATTAGATAATTTGCCAAAACAGCATTAATAATGATATTTGTGCTTGACGTGCCTGAGGAGAGAGTCAGAGAGTGTTGATGTCCTTGGCTTTCGACTGCTCTTTGAACCCCAACAACTGGTAAACTCACCCACACACACAAAGAAAAATTTTGACTTTCTTAAACGAGAGTGCAAAAGTTGCGTCCACCCAAGCAGACGGCAACATATTGTCGTACTCTATAAATTATGCGCATAACCGAGTGCTAAGAACCGAGAACCGAGCTCCAAAAACCGAAAGCAAAGAGCGGAAAGCATGTTTAACATCTCCACCTAGACACGCACACGCACACACAGACACACACGCTCACGCACACAAACACACATGCAATCAGCTGCGAAAAGGATTGTGGGCGGGCCGTGGGGTAGAAGCCAACCAAGCAGAACTATTACAATGGCAAAAAGTTTAACGAGTCATGTGAAAGTCTGTGGGGACTTCTGACAGCCCTCCCTCCCCCTCACCAAAAATGCGAGACCAGGCACCCGGTGGGTGCAAAATGTACTATTATTGCCCTGCCGGCTATGTTGCTAGTGCGATGTACATATGTAATGTGCCTAGGCTCAACCACAGCATTTGAAGTAAGGCAGCAGAGAGACAGCTCCCAGCATCTATCCCTTCTACCCTAACTCCGGTTCTGGCTATGGCTGCAAGGTAAAGAGATAGCTTGCCTCTGGGAGTTCTCTTCTGCGCTGCTTTGTTTGTTAGTTATGGGCTTTAAAACTTGTCACACATGTCAAGCAAACTTGCAAAATGGCTGCTACTTTGGAGTGGGAAACGCGGAGCCACAAAGTAGCTACAGAAGAACTCTGCATACGATAAGGCAGCAAGAGCGAAGCTGCTCCACTTGCAGATACCCTGCACTCGGGTGCAACACGCACACACTCACACACACTCGATTTGATTCTTGGAAATAATTTCTAGCAAATAAAAAATTAAATAGGAAAAGTTTCCTTTGTCAACTAATCAATTCTACCTAAAACTTAAGTATTTTCTATTTATTTCTATATTTCACTTATGAATGGTCGACAAAACGAAAACGAAGCAAAGTTCTTAATAAATTTTAAATTAAAAATATAATGTTTTAATTGTTAAGAGGAAAAGGCGTGAGTTTTGTGAGAGGTATTCGTAATACAAAATTAAAAATAAACTTAATAAACTACATTAAGATATATAATTGGAAGCAAAACAATCAAGTTAGTTGGAAATAGAATAAATGACAAGGGAGAAAAGACAATTTCCAAAGAAATAAGAGTGAAATAAGTTAACAAATGGAGGAAAGTACAGAACATTAAAGTGAGAGAGAGAGGCAAAAATGCATTAATAATTTTCAAATATATTATAAATAAGATATAGTCTCCAGAAATACATTCCATGATATACAAGCAATCGGATAGAGAGGCTTCTCACCTTTTGGATACATATTCTACCTATACTTTTGGGTAGAGGTAAATGATTTAAAACAGCTTTAAAACATTTTTAAGGATAGGCAAAACTGTCACATGCTAATAAGTAGCCCTCAAAAAAATTGAAAATCGGCGCGCTGAACTGCAACCATGGCGAGAACGCCTCTCGCAGCAATCTTTGCTCTTTCTCACTTGCATTTTGAAACCTTTTTTTCTGCGTACTCAGCTTGCAACGCCTACATAAAGTGAGAAAGGAAACTTCCCCTAGGGCTGCACACACACCCTCACTCACACACACAAGTGTGTGGGTTCGTGTGAATGGGTAAAAAAAGCTGTGCTATACTTTCGCTTGAAGCAGAGTTTTTTGCCAAACAAAAACTGCTGCTGGCCCTCTGTTGTTGCAGCAAACGTTTAGAGCGATAAAAAACTAACAGGGAGGAATACACAGAAAAACCAAAAAAAAAAAGTAAAGGGAAAAAATAAACATTTTGTTAGTTGCATAAATTTGGATGCTGTTGCTCTTGCTGTTGGACCCGCTTGTTTTGTAGCCACTGATAAAAAGTGTCGTCGAGGGAGCAACTTAAGCGAAACTGCGCTG